TAACTAAAAAACAATGCAAATAAATGAGCATTCGTATGAAAAAATGGGGTACTTGATAAAATAAATAAAACCAATTATAAATATAAAAAAGGAACCACATATCAAATACACAACAGAATAAGTAAACACAAAAACGCACGACAATTTATACAATGCACATAAATTTATGACATTATAAATAAAGCACAAAAATACACGACATTATAAATAATACACAGAAATACTCAACAATATCATTAATTCAAAAATATACACAACAGTATAAAAAATGCACATAAGTTAATAAAACCTTAAAATTTGTTTGCTTTGTTTTCTTGTATAAACTTTAATTTTTAGTTGTAAGAAAAGCTGAGCCATTTTTCTACATATTAAAATTTCTCTTATAATATTTTCTATTTTCGAATTAATTGCAAACATTTTTTACTTTTAAAAACCCGTTTAGTTGTTTTGTTTTTCTAATGGTTTTTTTATTTATAATTTGCAATATTTTTATTGCTTTCATTTTAATTGCTTTTTTTTCCTTAATTTTATTAATTTTTCTACTTTTCGCCAGTAAATAGGCATATCTCCCATTCGAGATGAATGCAATTGCTGAGTCGATATTTCAATAGTTTGTTTATATTTAGCAATTTGTTGCTGTTTTTTTTACTTTGAAAAACCAGTGTGGGAACACCGTTCCCACTTACAATATTAAAATATATTGCCATTATATTTAGTTGAAAACAGTTTCTACGTTGTTTGCGCACCTCCTCTACTACTCTTCTGTCTAGTCAATAAAAAAACTAAAAACTGAATTTTGTCAGAAATAGATAATGCTTTTATTGGGGCATACTTGATCAGAACAGTAAAAAAAGAAAATTTCTCAAAAGATTGTTGAAAATTTCTCAAAATATTGTTGTCATGTCAACTCAGCAAAGTTTATTGATATTTGGTTGGAGTAGATACTTCGACAACTGTATTCAACAGACTAAGCTCTAACTAATTATTACTTGAAGATTTAATAAAAATATTTTTGAAAAAAATCTAAATGTTTATCAGAGCAACTTTTATCCTCCAAATAAAAAGTTTCACTTCTTGTATTAATAATATCATTTTATTATATATTATTGTATTAATAATATTAATAATAATAATAGCATTTCTCGAGGCGAATTTCCGCTCTTTTTAAAAAATGGCTATTTTTATAAAGGATTTTTTCTTATTTGTTAAAGACTCCAATATATGCAACTTTGCTGACGATAACACTCCTTTGTTTGTGACAACAGCATAAATACATTTCTCTTCTTCAACTAGAAATAGAAAATGATATTAAACATAGTTTTCGATGGATAAAATCGTTGCAAAAATTGAAAAAAATCCAACTATTAGAAATTGAAAATTATTCCTGATAATTTTCAATTTCTAATTGTTGGCTTAAAAAACTGTGATAGGTCTGTTTGTAAATGGTAAGATATTTGCTTCCTCTAAGGTTAAACTTCTCGGGGTTACATTTGATGGAAATTTAAAGTTTGATGATCATATTAAAAGTCTATGTGGGAAAACAAATAGTAAATGCTTTACGCTCTTGTGTATAAGAAACTTTTTATTACGCAAACAAGCTACTCTTTTTTTTAATGCTTTTACATTTTCTCATTTTTCATACTGTCTTTTAATTTGGATTTTCTGCTCAAAAAGTGATAATAATCTTATTAGTAAAATTCATAAAAAGCACAATGTTCTCAAGTTCTGTTCACAATATTCACAAGAAATCTGATATGTACACAATATTCACAAGAAATCTGATCACAATGTTCACAAGAGATCTATTCAAAATTTTCATAAGAAATTTCTCATGATATGTTAAAATTAGATAATAACTCAAGGATCAACCTCAAGAAGATTTTATCAACTGAAGTTTTTAAATCTATTAACGGCTTAAACCCAGAAATATTATCAGAGATGGAACATTAATGCTACCACCCAAGACAATTGGTTGTAGCATTAATTTTTTACAACAGCAAAGTCTATTGACTTAAAAAAAGTTATAAATTAATGCTACCTTCCATTTTTTCTAAAAATAAAGAAGTATTTTATACATGATAAATAATTTGTTATACTTATTGTAGTTTATTGCACAATATAAAACAGCCGTAGACAATAATGGAGTATATTAAATACAGTACAACAACAACAACAACAAATAGATTTTTCGTTGCCAAGCAAACAATGTGTTTTTGTATAAAATTTCGTCAAGTTCCGAAAATATATGGAGTATGTATAAGTCTAATATTTGGAGTAAAATCTTTAACATTTTCAAAAAAAAAAATAATCTTAATTTGTGTCAAAAGAATAGAGATTTAAAAAAATATATCTGTTTGTAATATTAGATAATTAATGCTACCTTCCATTTCCTTTAAACATAAAGAAATAATTTTGTTTTGTAATAAAAATTAACATTTTTTATATTATTGCAGGGATTTATGTTTTCCAAAATTTCAATTACAAAACGCATCTATTGAGACACGGGTTAATACACTTAAAAAAAAAAATTTTTTTTTAAAATATTAAGGATAAAAATAATAAAAATATGTCTAATAACTATTATTGATGATGAATTTATGAAAGAGCATAAACAAAAACACATATACATATAAAAATAGTTACCCCACAGTTGTCATAGTTACAAATGCCCACCAAATACCTTCCCAGGCTCCTGCAAAAAACGTAGGAGGAAACTCGCTGGAATTATGTTTTTTATCCTAAATTTTAAAAAAAGGTTGAAGTAACCTAAACACATTCCTTAAAAAAAATTCAAACTAAATAAAACAAATATATTTAAATAAGAGAGACCTTCAAAATAGTATTAAAATATTATAAGTTAAACTTATCAATACGCCATTATTTTAAAGTTTTAGCACAGGTGGCTACAAATATAAATATTATATGGTTATTTGATTTTATTGAAAAAGATTTATTTGGAGTTAGACAACTTTTTTTACAAATGCTCCAACCTGGAATGCTTTCCTAAAAAAGGCAAACTGTTAACCCAACAAATAAAAATAAGTTCAAAAATTATTACAATAAACTATTGAGTAAATAAACAAAACTATTGTAAAAAGTAAACTTTTTCATCTGTTAACAAAAAAAGGTCGTCAAAGTGAATAGTTTATAGTAACACGTGCTAGCTACGTCATATCAACTAAAGCATTTAAACTATACAACTTCAATCATTTATAATATATATTATATAATATATATATTATATAAATAATAATAATATAAGTTTATAATATAAATATAGATAGTATAAATTGAATGAAGGGCAAATCTTGCTCTATTGATAATTGCTTTAATATTTCATTCTTTAGTAAATTATTTACAAAAATAAAAAATATCATAGTTAACTATTTGATATATCAAATAAAAATAATAAAATAAAAGTTAATATAAAAAATCAATATACTAAACACAAGCAATATATTAGATTGGTTTTTCAATAAGAGTAAATAAAATCCAATAAAGAATATACTTTATAAAGTGACTGATCTATTGAGATAGTATTAAAAGTTCATCAAAAAGTAATCTTATTTCAAATAAAATATCGTATACTATTTTTTATTTATTATCAAACAAATTGAAACAGAATGATAATGGTATTGATATATCATTAATAAGTAAAAACTGTGTGTGTGTGTTTGTGTGTGTGTGTGTTTGTGTGTGTGTGTGTTTGTGTGTGTGTGTGTGTGTGTGTGTGTGTGTGTGTGTGTGTGTGTGTGTGTGTACATAAATATTTGTGAAGATGTTTGTATGTACGTGTTCATGTAGTTTAACTTTTAAATACCGAAACAAAGTTTTACTGAATAAAAATTCTCAAGTTCAATAGAATGCGCTGCGTTTTGATTTTCTTTATGATTTCTAATTTGAGTTATTAGAAACTTGAGAAAATCAATTAAAATCAATCTAACTTATCGAAGCAGGAATTGGAGCTCCGAAACTTTTTTTTATATGCTTTTTGCTATATAATTTTTTTCAAGTAAAGTAAATTTGAATTTTAGTTAGCTCTGATATACCTCCGTTACATTCCTAGTATATACCACTACTCTTCGCGCATCTCATAATACCTTTACGAAATCTTTGGAAATGTTAAAGCTGCACTAAATTGGGGGTAGGATTTAGGAAACATGGATAGTGTATTAAGATTATGTTATATTGATTAAAGTGACGAAGAAAGAAGGATATGAGTTCTGTTGCAAGGACCCACCCGTGCAGATCTTGGGCTCCCCAATACGTCATAGGGATAATAATTCCTATTTCTATTATATTTTTGATATGGGAGATTGCTATCCAATACTTAGTTCGAATTATATTTTTAATATCTTTGTAGTTTAGTTGAGTTGTCCAGGATATAGTATGAAGTAGCAAATATTTGTGAATTAAAGTCATTATATTATCATTATCTATATCTAAAATTAATGATAACAAACTCTAAATGTGGACCCAATTTTTCTGTCCAAAAATTTCAATTTTAAATAAGTAATATTAAAATGTTATAAATAAATATAACAACATACTCTAAAAAATATCAATGAAAGGCAACATACTCTAAACATAAGGCAACATACTCTAGACACACAACAGACAACATACTCTAAACACAACACACTCTACACACAAAAGTACTCTAAACACAACATACACACAACATACTCTAACGCACACTACACACAACATGCTCTAAACACAACACACTCTACACACAACAGTACTCTAAACATAACATACACCCAACATACTCTAACACACAACATATTCTAACACACACTACACACAACATACTCTAACACACACTACACACAACATACTCAAAACACAACACACTCTACACACAACATACTTTACACACAACAGGCAACATACTCTAAACATACTCTAAACATAATCAATGAAAAACATAATAAACTATGTCTTTCATTGAATCATAAAAAATTACAATGGTAACACTTTTTCAAAAATCTGATTATTTTTATGTTAAATATATTATAATTAACATAAGAATAATCAGATTTTTGAAAAAGCGTTACCGTTTTAATTTTTTAAAAACTAATTAACATAAATATATTATAACTAACATAAGAATAATCAGATTTTATGTTAAATATATTATAATTAACATAAATATATTATAATTAACATAAGAATAATCAGATTTTATGTTAATTATATTATAATTAACATAAATATATTATAATTAACATAAGAATAATCAGATTTTTGAAAAAGCGTTACCGTTTTAATTTTTTAAAAACTATTTTGTTTATTAAACAATTTTAAACCAATTGCAATTGCTATATATACAGTAAAAATATTGCAAGGAGTCGAAACAGTTTTAATTATTTGTTACCATATAATGTAAAATTTGATTTTAACCAAAAACTTTGTTTCAGTGCCAACTTAATAATATATTATTGAACGAATCATATAGTCAAAAAAAGTATAAATTATTTGATTATGATGTTTTTATTGATATTATTTTAGATACAAGCTAAGCTCTTTGTTCTCTTAGTCAGCTTGAGGTAGTACATTATCTTGAATCTCCCTATTATTCCACAAATTTTGATGGTCATTTTTAAGTTTTAATTGAAAACTGTTTAATTTTAATTGAAAAACTAAAAAACAAACGAGTAAATTTGAATTATTATGTAAATTGTAATATTTTGAGTTTTTGTTTAAAGGTTTCAGGTTTTGTCTAAATCGATAAGTCAATCATAACATTTTAACATTACAAGGTAATATTTTGAAAAAAAAAATTTTTTTAATATTAAACTTTTATTGTTTTTAATAAAGGACGTCATGCTTTTAAGGGGGAGGGGGTCAAAATCAAAAGCTAAAAAAGGACAAAGGAAAGAGGGGTAATATATATATATATATATATATATATATATATATATATATATATATATATATATATATATATATATATATATATATATATATATATATATATATATATTACCCCTCTTCCCCTTGAAAAAAAAAATATATATATATGTTTTTTTTTTTCTTGTTTGTTTTTTTAGTTTACATTTGTTGGCGTAGTGAATTACTTTCACAAGCACAAACAAGGTTTCTGAAAGAAGATCGTTTTGATCACCTTTTACAAGCGTAGGTATATAAACTACATCAAAACATAATCATAAAAATAAAACGTAATTAACAATAAAAACTCTAAAGAAAATATAAAATTACAATTAAAAAATCCTGACTACATCATCCATTAAGATAATTAAATTTTTCAGTTTATATTTGAAAATGGGAAAATTAAAATATAAGTCAAAATTGGACAAAACAATTTTATTCCAAAGATAGGGTGCACAATATGCAATACAAAACTGATTAAACTTGGTTTGACAAAAGGGTTCATAAATAAAATTATTGTTCTAAGTGCATATTTATTTATTGGTTTCAAACAAAAGAGATCTTTGAAAACGGAGAAAGATCTATCATGACCTAGGTATTACAATAATTATTTACATTTTCCATTATTCTATGACGTAGTTTTTACACCTTTCAAGTTTTCTTTTGTTTGACTAACGAATAAAATTAATGTTTGTTTTCACTATATATTAAATAGTTTTTGTATTTAACAGTTTTATACATGAAAATGATTATTTTATAATCGAAAAATGCTATTGAAATTGAAAAAAATTGACTTATAACAAAATTTTTACTATTACGACTATATATATATATATATATATATATATATATATATATATATATATATATATATATATATATATATATATATATATATATATATATATATGGAGAGAGAGAAAGTGTTTCACTCTCAGGTTTATCAAGAAGCCTGATCAACTATTGAACCTACTGATAAACCTTCCTCATGAACCACGTTGTTGAAGAATAAAACACGTTGTTGAAGAATAAAACTAGATTAGTGTTTTTACTCCAATTATAAACAAAATTATTAAAGTTCTAGAAATTACCTTTGATGCTCAAATATGGTATGAGCTCAAATATTTTTGAAAAAGTCAGATAACAATATATATATCAAAGATTGTTCTTCTTATTCAGAAAGTGTTTAGACATTATGTACAACTTGTTTCCAAAGTTTCTTATATTGTCTATGGAATGGAAGCACGTCAATAATTATTGTGGATAAAATTCTAATCAGAAAGCATCAAAAGAGTTTTATGTTTAAATGTTTATTTGTGACTAAATAAATTTTTGTTATAAGAATTTGAGTTTGTGAATAGTTCTTATAACTATTAAATATTTAAAGTCATTTTTTTAAAAAGTTTATTTATGCAATTTTTCCTATTTTTTCTGTGTGTATAAATTTTCTATGTGTATAGATTATATAATATGTGTTTCTATGTGTATAGATTGTATAATGCAAAATGTGTATAGATTTTCTATATTTATATCAACACAATTTTACAAAATAAAGAATGATTAATTACCTAATTAATTATGTAAAAAAACGAATAAAAACTTTTAATTCTTTAATTTTATGTATTTTATTATAAAGACCAAGGCTAAAACAATCAAGATCAAGGCCAAAAACTTCAAGGCCTAGGCCAAAGGTTTCGAGGCCAAGGCCTTAGGTTTTTGTCTTAAAGTATGGTCAAGGCCAAGGACTAATAACTCTGGTCTAAAGAACCTGAAACCTCTCTATAGAAAATAGTATAAGTTATTTTTATAGAAAAGCTATACAAATTTTGTTATAGGGTAGGGTAAAAAATTAATGACAATTCCATTTTTTTACTTTTAAATTGTATTCTCAACTGTTTAAATACTGTTTGAAGAGTTTTACTTCTCGTAGTTGTCTCTGATTTGTCAAATATTCTAAAGCAACAAAGTATTCTTCATCAGAATCGGAACAGTCTAAAGTCTAAATCCACAAGAAACTGTTAATTTTTGTTAACTTTGATGTTTTCCACTCAAATACATTTTGTTTTTGACAACCTTTTATTGGTTATTGATTCGGACAGTAGACTTCCGATTAATAAATTCAGAGCATAGATATCTGCAAAATTTTACGCCGCTAAAAGTTTTATACATAACATTAAATGAAAAAACATTTTACGTCTCTAAATTTACGGCTGTCAAAATTCCAGAGTAAAAATTTATCAGGTAGCATTTTACGCCGATAAAAAGTTTTATAACATTGACCCCTGGAGTGATAGCGTATAATTAAAAGTCTGTTTATTAAGATCAGGTTTTTCCCAAATAATGTGTAATGCTTCTTTAATTTTTAAGGATTGTGAAGTTTGGGCGTAGTCTAATACTGAAAAAAGAGTCTTTATTGGCTACATTAAAGCAATTTGTTTTTGAATAAATATGTTGATTTATATGAGAAGTTTTTTGTAATTTTAAATGTTCCTCAATTCTTTTACTCAAATGTCGAGTGGTTTGACCCACATAATAAGCATTACAGCTTTTACACACAAATTTATATATGACGTTTAAGCAGAGATATTGAGGAGTTTTATCTTTGGTTGAAAAATATGTACTAATTTTAAAGGATGAGATTGCCAATTTAATAGTAAGAGTTTTACAATGTATTTTGCATAAATCATTTATTTTATTTTGAAATTTTAATGCTGGCATGCTTTTTTAACATGACTTAGGAGGCAAAGTACAAGTTACAATTCTTACAGGTTCTCTGAGACAATCTTGATTGTACAGAGAAAAAAAACAGGTCGTAAGGAGGGAGTTTGAATAATTTTAATGATCGAGGAACTCTTTGATTAAATTTAATATATAGAATAAGAGTAATATAACAAAAAAATATTTTCAGGGTGTTCTACAAGAACAAACAATTGAAAATATTTTCAGGGTGGTCTACAAGAACAAACAATTGAAACAAACGTAAAAATATCTAATAAGCTCTACTAAATGATATTCAAACATAAAAAAATGTGAAAAATTGGGAGGAACCACTTTTAGGGGGAAACCAATTTTATGAAATTCTTTTTAAGGGGCATAGGAAAAAAGGACAACTAGTAACAACTAGTAACAAGTCTTAAAAATAGTGACGTCTTTTACAGACGCCCCTTAAAAAAATCACATAAAGACAAAATAAACACAATAAACGCTGGCATGAAGTGTGTAATAACTTATAAAATTTATTTAAAAAAATGACGCTTTAACAAAAAAAAAAAAATTATTTAATAAATTCTCTTACCAACAACCACACCGTAAGACCAGCTAAACAAGCAGAAGCAATTATAAAAACTAACATGGGCCATGCATTAAACACAGTGTTCATTAGAACCTGTGTCCTTGTGTTTCTTTCAGTAAATAGCTGATCAGGAACAACCAAAACAATCCTTGGTGACGTAACTACTGGGATAAAAGGAAAATCTTTATATTGCTGTGATTGTTTTCCTTCCAAACCTGTATGACAAAAAAATGATTTTAAATTTGTATCACAAAGCATATATTTTATAATATAAATTACGCAATAAAATATCAATTAAAAAAATATATCATAATATCTTAATATATATATTATAAAATGTTTTTTCAAACAAAATTATTGTCTATTCGGCCTATGTAAAATGTATGATTATATATTTAAAAAAATAGAAATTAAACTTTATACCGTATATTGGGAAAGATATATCAATATGGCGGTCTTTTGAAAAATGCTCTTCAATTTCTAACATGCTAACAAAAAAATGACCATATGTAATTTTACTTGATTGACAGCAATGTTTCATTATTTCAATTGCAATATGAGGGAACATTCCATGAAGACAATAGTAATCACCTGTAAATACAAACTAATTTACAAGTTTTTTAATTTTCAACTTTTAAAACAATTTCAAAAACTGTAGGATTTACCATTATCACCAAAGTTTGAGTATGGTGAAATCATTTGAAACCCAATTCCTATGTCCATTCCTTGTTCGCACTTTTCGTCCAAAGTATAGTTTTGTAGATTCCTTTGTTTTTCGTTTAATTCTGTAAAATTGTTAGAGGAATTTCCATCCTAAATTATGTAATTTTTTAATTTGTTATTTATGTAATTTTTTAAGTATGTAATTTTTTAATTATGTAGTAGCATTTGCACATTAAATTATGTAATCCGTAAATTTATATTGTTATTGATGTTGATAAATAAATATATATCATTATAAAGCTTTAATTTAAAAGTTAGAGGAAATGGGTGGGAGTAAGTAATTTTGTGATGATTTGTTACAAGAGAGTATCCAATATTTTGAAGCTACAGTTGTTTCATTTTTTTAGTTTTAAATCTAAAAAAACAATTCTTTTGATTAAAAAATGGCTAATCATAAACCCTGAGTCAATAGACTGCGGCTATTTCTATTTAAATCAGTCGATGGATGTACACTCAACTGACTTGAGATATAAACCATCAATGATATAGTCCATGGCTATATCATCGATAAAATCATTATTTTCATCATCGATGAAAAGATTACTAATATTTTTGAATAATATAGTTATTAATAAACAACAATATAAGATAACATCAAATACATACTTTGAAACAAAACGTTAAACGTTACAAAAACAAAATATTTACCAACATGATTGGAACACGTACTTCCGCCTTAACCAAATATAATTACATAATATCGAAGTTACCACTCATTTGTGCGTGTTTTCACAGCGAGCTTTTTAAACGAGCTATCTCATGATTTAATTATTCAGATTGTTAACTAATTAATTATATGAATATATTTATGTACAGTTTATTAACTACAGTTTTTGCAGATCAGTTAACTCAATTCGATTCAAATTTACTTTTTACACCGAAACGTAATCAATTTTTAGTTAGATTAGCATATTCAATGACGATAATTAAAAGTCAAGATCACACTTTTAAAAGATTGATTTTTATTTTAGAAAACCTTGCCAACTTGTTGCGTGCTTTATATTATTTAACTGTTTGTTTTTTAAAATTGAAAAACAGAGAAGATATGTCATAAAACAAATGTTACATAAGCAATGTTGTATTTACAAATATACCTGATTTATATACTATAATTGTTTTACTATTAAACGCCAAATTTCGAAAAGTTAATTTTTTTACTTTTGTTAGTCAGAAGTTGTGGAAATCGAGTTGTTGTTACTAGAAACAGAGTTTTTGTTACTGGAAACCCTACTAGTAATAAATATTTGTTTTAGTAATTATGTGGGTTTTATTAGCTGAATTTTGTTCGCCACCCCACCATGCCTGTTGTTAATAAATTTTTTTTAATAATAAAGTTTTTTTTATCGAAACCATGATCTTACTTGTAGTTTTTCTAATTTTAGACTATAATTGTAACTAAACGTACCCCCAATAGCCATCAGTCATGGTATGTACATTCTTTCCTTAATAGTAAACCCATCTATTTACATACTATTTAGTAAAAAAAAGTTATAATGTAACAAAATTGACAATTGTTTTGTTAATTTGTATATAAATTTGTTAAAATGATATATATATTTGCTTATTTTGCTACATAATAAGAATATTTTTTTTTTATTATTTGTAAATAACTTTTATAGTAAATATTTATTTTTATTTTTACTTTATTTATTTATATTTTATACTTTTGTTTTACATTTTAGTATTGTTTCAGTAATAGCACAAGATTATAATTCTTGATTATTTTTGATTAAAATAACTGAATTCACTTCCTCTTTATTGAATGTATTCTTTATGATGAAAATGTATTGAACACCGTCTGATGAAAATGTATTAAACATTTCTAAACATATTTACGAAGATATCCTTAAAAAAAGTAAATTTTAAAATTTTGAACTAAAATTTGAAAGCAAAACAAATCTAGAAACATAAACTGGTTCAATACGCTCTATTACAAATATGTTTCCGCTAACATAGGAATAGTGTTTTTAAAGTTATTGAATAACAAATTACATATAATTTTTAAACGAAATACAGTTAAACTTAGCTACAGTTGCGCAAAAAATGTGGAAACAATCATTAACAAAAAAAATTTCTGAAAGAAAAAATTAAAATTCAAAATAAAAAACAATTTCTCAATGAGTGGAAAATGTTTATCAAAAAAACATGGTATATAAATGTTTTTTTTTATTTTTTTTTTATTTTTCGTCATTTGACACATTTTACAATGTTAACCTTACATTCAAATAAATTTATACAAATGCAAGCTGACTGGGGCAAGTAGAAGACAAAATGTCTTATCATCAAGCCCCTTCGTGAAAATATAAATTTTTTTTACAATTTCCAATAATATATAAAAGAGTGAAATTAAAAAAAGTTTAAAAAAAAACAAATTAAAAAGTTTGAAAAAATCAAAAAGTTGAAAAAATAATTTTTAAGTTTGACAAAACTAAAAAGTTTGAAAATAATAAAAAATAAAAAAGTTTGAAAAAATAGTTTACAAATCCGTACATATGCGTATACATATCCAATAAACTTCATAATATATATTTAAATATACAAGAGATATTTTAAATTAAAAAAGATTTCGAACATTTTATAGATTTAAGTTCATCTACTCATATTTTTTTTTTTAAACAAAATTAAAACAGACAAACAAAAAGAAAAGAGAAGAACATATATAAGAAGGATATACGTATATATATATATATATATATATATATATATATATATATATATATATATATATATATATATATATATATATATATATATATATATATATATATATATATATATATACATATACACACATACATATACACATATACATATACACATACACACATATACATATACACATATACACATATACATGAAAAAACATTAACATTAAAAAAATGAAAGAATGTACATATTGTTTAAATTTAGTATTTTTTTATAGCTCTTTTAAATATATCAATAGATTTTATTTTTTTCATATTTTCGTCAAGAACCGAGTTCCACAAGCGTGGTCCCGGACATGTAATTGAGAACTCAGACTTTTTGAGTAATGTTAGTGGGATGTAGTAATTATTTATTGTGTGTCTTGTTTTATATTTATGATTAATAAGAGAAAAGTTTTTATAAAAATATTTTGGAATTATTTCGTTTTGAAGTTTAAACGTAAATAACAAGTTATGGTAGATGTTTAATTTGTATACATTTAGGGCATTTATTTCCTTGAGTAACGGCTCGGCACTTTCGTATCTATCCATGCCCGAAACTAATCGACTTGCTTGCTTTTGTTTTGTATAAATAGTTTTTAGGAAAGATGAGTGATTGTTTGCCCAGGCAATATTACAATAGTTAATATGACTATGTATAAACGAAAAATATAAATTTTTTAAACATATTTTGTTCAAAAGAGGTTTAGTCTTATACATTATCCCTAAAGTCTTTGAGACTTTGTTCTCGACTAGCTTTATTTGGCTTTTCCAATTTAAATGTTCGTCAAAAATTATTCCAAGTATTTTCATTGAAAACACTCTTTTTATTTTAATATTGTTAATAGTTAGTTCTGGTAGTGTAAGTGGAAGATTCTCGGATTTAGATGGTTTAGCAAACAAAATATATTTTGTTTTTTCAATATTCAACGAAAGTTTATTTGCTATAAACCACTCATTGAGATATGCTAGTTCAGTGTTTACATTACAAAAAATATTTTTTAAATTTGAATCAGAATAGAAAACATTAGTGTCGTCAGCAAAAATAATATAATTAAGTATTTTTGATGACAAATAAATATCATTAATATAAATTAAAAACAGTAAAGGTCCAAGTATTGATCCTTGTCGAACTCCACAACTTATTGACAAATAATGGGGATGATGTTAAATCAAATGGTACTACTTGTTTACGATTTTCTAAATAACATTGCAGCCACTTTAAGTTAGAGTGAGCTACTCCGTAATTACATAGTTTGTTGATAAGAATCTTGTGGTTGACAGTATCAAAGGCTTTGGATATATCTAGAAATATTCCGAGAGTGTAACTATTGTTTTTAAAATCATTTAGAATTTGGTTCGCAAGATCAATTACTGCATGCTCCGTGGAATGGTATTTTCGAAAACCAAACTGTTTATGATAAAGAATGTTATTAGTTTCAAGATAATTGTACAGCCTGTGCATAATACGCTCAAGTATTTTAGAAAAACAGGAAAGTATGGAAATTGGTCTATAGTTAGATTTTATCGAATCATCGCCGCTTTTGTATATTGGAATTATTTTTGCTAGTTTTAGTTGGTCAGGAAAAATGCCGTTTCTTAGGGAAAGATTAAAAATTATAAAAAGAGGTTTCTCAATAATATCTGAGACCGCTTTTACAACATCGGGGTTAATTTCATCTAGACCCGCACTCTTATTTGTTTTCAACATACTAATTGCTAGCCGAAGTTCATCAACCAGAAGCTCCGACTCATCAATTATGCAATATGATTTTTTCAAAAAAGATTCAAATGATTTACTCCCCTCAGGAATTGCACTGGCTAGTTTTTTCCCTATATTTATAAAAAAGCCATTAAATGTTTCTGCAATTTCTTTATTTACAAAAGTTGTTTCTTCTAAGAATGTACCTAATAAACAAAATATTGGCTTAGAGGGCGAATGGAAAAAACGCCAATCAAATTTAATCGTTTAGAAATAAAAAGTACTCAAAAGACACCATGCTGTCAAAACATTGAATTATACATTGAGTTTTTCCATCCTTAAAACAGCATCTGCGAATAATAAAATTTCAAAAAAAATCATATAATGTCTACATGAAAAATTTATAATAGTTATACATGCAAACCAAGTATGTTTACTAAATAGAAATCGGAATTGATTTCTAAATGCAGACATGAAAATAAGTTTTTCTCAAAAACTATAAAAATTACTAGGCTTAAAAAACAATAACCCCCCTCCTCCTTTAAATATATTTAAATAAAAAGCAAAAGTAAACAATTCTAAAAAATTCTTTTTACAATAGTGTCAACATACTCCACAAGTTTTTTTTTACATCAATTATTATTATATATTTCAAAAACAATTACTATTTACATGTCTTCAGTTTATATGAATGTCTACCACAC